TAATGATCCTCATCAGCCGTGGCCTTTTACACACCTTAAGAGATTTATGTCTACATGATGCTTCCCCTCTTGTTGTGAATATTTGAAGCATGGACTATCCCTGACAGCATCATACCTGCTGCATCCCATCACATCAGGTAGAAGAACAAAGATGGTGAGATATGGTTGAATAGCAGGTCAGGTTATATTGCCTTAGGGTGATTCAAGCTTATTTGCATACTTTCCAAGATTCCCACATGGGGTTTGGATTAATAGCCATGATAACGGGTCTAAATTAATCTAAAACAAATCTTATTTTATCTTATAATGAGGCCACAAGATACCACTGGCAAAACAGCTTCCTTTGAGTTATGTAAAAACAGGGGAGCAGTTGATCTTTTGATTCAAAAAGCAACAAAACCAGAGTGATTGAGCGGATTTAACTTCTATTAATATTAAACAAAAAAATATGACTGATGTGTTGTGAATCACAAGAATGCAACGGCAAAGATTGTACAGGGGTTGCTACTAAATTACATGATTTGATCAAAGAGACGAATGGTAGAGTAAGGTTTTTTTTAAGGAAACAATAATTCAGCAATGTAGTTCTATGTCCTGGGCAGCTGCAACCTTACAGGGAGGGTGGCAAACAAAAATAAACAAACATTTATCACCACTGGCTATGTATACACATGTATTCAGGCAATAGGTACTGTATTGCATTATCTCAAATGTAAGATCTTTTTGAAAAAAAACATGATGCATTTTTACCAAAAATGATATGTTGTTAAATTAGACTTCCTTTTGACTTTCTGTTATATTAAAATGCTTCTTACACTTTATTCCGCCATTGTTTATCATTCTACAGATAAAACTCAATGCAGTGTGGTCGGCACAAATAGATTCTCATTATGCCATTTTAAACTCATCTTAGTTTATTTGTCCTCTGAAGTCTTAAAGCTTGCAAGGTAAGGTTATTCAAAGTATTGGAAATATTGCAACAGTTCTATAAAAAGCACTGTTGGAAAAGAGAGTGATTCTCTTTATTAAGTAATGAGGGAGCCACGGTTCAGCAGCCCACAGACACACAGCGAGCACCACACAGAGACCCCGGCAGCACCCAGAGCCAACCCCCCCCACAGCTCTCACATTGCATCAAGTCACTGACTGACGGCTACATTGTTCAAGGCAAGGGGGAAAAGAGTGGTGAAGATGTGCCTCTCAGAGAGCTGCTCACCACAGCCAGTGTCTACTCTACACACACATGCACATGGGGCGCACCCATTGGTTGAGTGCACTCCACGAAAACAGGGTCTTAAAGAAGTTCTTTGGAGGCTGAATCATTCATATTTGAGCAATCATTTGAACTTCTAAACGTTTCTGCTTTGCCATTTCTGCACACACATAAATAACATAACACTTTGATTGTGTGGTTCCCCCTGGTCCGATTGAAAAGGATCAGCTGATTCATATTTGAAGTTTCATTTGACTGCTTTCTTTTTTTGCTTACTGTTTATAGCCATCTTGGCATAATCCACTATGAATTAATTAAAATGTAAGTTTGTTCAAGACATGTTTTGCCATATCGGTTCATTTTTACAAATCCCATGTGTTTAAATATGTGATGCATAGATGGTAATGTGTTGCTATTAAATAAGCCAATTTATTAATTGTTCAAGGTATTTAAGAGAAGTTATGAAGCTACGGCTAACGGATGCTCAAATGACTTATTTAAAGTAATCATATACAACACTTCAATGCAATACAAACAAAAGAGAAAAATCCACAACTTCATTTTTGTTGGGACCCCTAAAGTAAAACATTAAAGCAAAATGATTGGACCGCGCAATCTCCTCTTAATGGAGGTTATCCCACAAGTTCAAGCATATGGCAAGTAGATTTAGCTTTTATTCATTTCTGGAGGATATCAAAAAATCAATTGTTAATAGTTAGAATTCCGTTTTTATTTATAACTAGTTACAATTGAATTCCTGATATCAAAAAAAGGATTTTGAACTAGTTCAAAATGTATTTCTGATATCAAGAATTGGCATTTTGACTAGTTGAAATGTAATTCTTGTTATCAGAAATTTGTATTTTTACTAGTTGAAATGTAATATTAACTAGTAACAATTGAATGACTGATATCAGAAGTAGTACGAGTAAGAATTAATTTGTTGATATCCTCCAGAAATGAACAAAAGCTAAATTGGCTTGCCATACGAGTAAACACAGGCTTCAATTTGCCACCAATAGCAGGATTAACCCAGCAGGGGGCGCCATGACCCCCTACTCTCACACTCTCTTCCTAGTGTGTGTACTCATGCTTTCATGGCAGCCTCAATATATGTAACCTGTGTTCCCCAGATACCATAACACTATTTTTCCCACTACAAAAAATTCCTGAATACGACATCAGACAGAAAAGTGATTAAACCAGAAGGCCCATGATCAAAAGTTGAACAAGCCAGCGCTCTACAATATGTTCTACTTTTCTTGTTGAATTATGCAATGCTTTGTATACGGGTTATAAACAACTTGACTGATCCCCGTTTAAATAAACAGATGTTTTGCTATATTTGAGAATCACCTTGTAGAACACAAGATCAATATGAGGTCAAAATCTAATTAGCCCCACTTTTAAATTGACTAGTATTATTTTAATATTAGGTTATTTTCATATTGTTTTATTTATTTGATAGTTTTTGACTTGTATTTGTATTGGCAAAGGTCCCTTTTAAGTTGGTGTTCAATTTCATTTGACTTCCATTAATCTTATTCATCATTACATTTATATTATAAATGTCTTATTTGGATTTTATTTGCATTATTTTATTTATTTATTTAATGTGTATTTATATGTTATCCTATTGATTGATTATGTCTTCCTTTATTTTACCGAGAGAGATCACCATTTCATTGTGGTTTACTTTTTATTACCATACTTTGTACTGCTGTGTCCCTTCAAGTTTTAAACTGTTATATCATGTTTTTTGTTTTGTTTCTTGCTGCATGTAAAACTCTGGTTGTGTTTTAAATTGTGATGTGTGCCTTGGTACAGCAAACTTTACAAATAAAGCTTGTTATTATTATTATTATTATTATTAATAGCTGTGTTGCAAATATAATAGATTTAATAATTTAAAATAATAAGTAAGTTCCTAGCAGAAACAAAAACAGACATAACTGAAATTGTACTTCAGATCCAGGTTAAACTATATCTTAAGTAAGTTGTTTTATTAACTAAATGACAAAAGAAAGTATTGCATCCTTGCTATGAAAAAGATACATATAAACCTGATAAAAAGCTTCTTGCTGTGAACAGATCACCATGCCGACCGGTACAAAGCATTCCCATACACACATTCCAATCATGGGCAACACCATTTATTTGTTCTGTAAACAACTATTGAAAACACTGTGTTATACTACAATAAATATATCATTCAAATAATAAAGACAATTAACTTATTAATTTAGATTAAATACAATGACAAATAAATATGCAGGTGTATTTGATAGAGACCTCTGTCATAAATAGTCCAATGTTTTAGCTGTGTCTGAGGATGCCGATAAACATTTCCTTCAAGATAACTCAAAAACCATTCTTTGTAATTATCGCTTCTAAAAAACAAACAATTGCTATCATAAAAAAAAAAATCATTAAAAACTTGTTTTAACAGTGTTACAAGAAGCAAACCATGTCACATAAATCATTCAATATCTCAAATTTCTTCGCCCAGTATTTTGTAGATTTTTGGTAAAAATGACATTTTGAAAACATATTTAAAATGTTATCTTAAATATTGAACTATAGTAAAATAAAAATGAAACACTCAGGCACTCGGCTGATCCACTGGCGGCTGGGCCTCAGGTGTGGGAGTAGTTGCTGGGCGCATGTGAACTTGCTGGATACATTTGCGGATTTTGGACAAGAGATGGGAAACAGGTTCCTTATCAGTATTCTCCTTTTCTGGTGTCTCTTCACAGGTTGCCTGAAAGAAAAAGTTGGTCAAGTGTCACTCTAAATTCTGCATTTGCTTTAACCATCTAAAAACAAAGTGGGGGGGGTTCACAGATTTGGTCTTCTCATTTTGCAAATGTGATGTCAGAGGGAATTCTTACACGAGTGCCCATGATGTAAGCCTTCAAGTTCCTCAAAAGGACTTCATCCCCCTGCCTGTGTTTCTCACGTTTATTCAGGATCTCAAACGATTTACAGAAGAACTTATCCTGTAAGGAACATAAGCAGGAATACATTAGGACTTCAAAATAAACAAGGCAAACACTTATATTCAATGAATCAACATGGCCATTGCAATCTGTCTCTGTAAGCTACAGTTTGTGCTAATGACCAATTGCATACGTTTTGTTTACCGTCAAAGTACTTCAACTATAAGCAACCAAACTCTTCTTACATTGCATTTTTCAGCCAGACCGGTCAAGTCCTCCACCCAGGTCTTCTTCAGAACATACAATACAAAAAGTTAATTTAATATTTCAGGAACAAATCATTTGTTGCAAAAAAAGTCACAAGCAAGTAAACGGTTATAAAATGAGATCTTACCTCTGTGTTATTCCAGTTACCTACTATATTAAGGATGACCTTTAGGTTATCTAGAGGCTGATGAGTAGGCTTGGCAACAGTTGGGCCGAGCATCAGTGTCGCGGCGGACAGAAACATCATCACCATCATCTTCATCATCATTATAGCTAGTTGGCTGTCGACCTCTGGTTGAAGTTACTTCAAGTTTTCTTTGACTAGATCACTCAAATGTCAGCTGACGCTTGTTCTGAATACTTGGCTGAGAACGAAAGATTTATACTTGCTTGGCCCCCGCCTTCGCAACGTTTTCCCCCTCATTAGAAAAAACAAACTGCAATGAGTCTGCAGTGTATGTGAGATAAGATCTTTTGATTAAACTGTGGTTTGTGACAAACTTCACCAAAAAGGAGAAACGATTCTCTGAAGCTAATCTATACCTTTCAACAACCGTTCAAGAGATAAATCGTAAATAGCAAACCATTCCAAGATTTAATGACAGAACGTAATGAGAGGAAAACAGGAAAACATAACTGTGAACTTTCCAAATGTTTAAGCAGAACAGATACATGGACAGCAGATGGCTACAGGAAACGTTTTAAAGACACAATGCCAAGACCATGCAAACGTCATGATGCTTAACACGGAAGCTGTTCCTGCTTTAGATTAGAATCAGAACTTTGGTCTTTTAGTTCGTACTTTATCTGGTAGTTTCTTACTGGAATGGAGGATTTAATAAAGCATTACGTAAAGCATATTTTCTGTTATGAAACAGTGACGTTTGAAATCAACACAATATTTTGAATCATGGATATTTGCCAGTGTCTTCGGCGGGTTAAGATCATTTAACTCGTTCCCTTTTTTCAACTAAATCAACGCTGAATTTGCCAAAACTGAAATGAAAACACGGAGATCGAGGTTTACTGTGCATTTCCAAGGAAGTGTAGAGTCTTTGGTCTGCTCAGTTGAGATAGGTAGAGAGGGAGGTGATGCTGCACTTTGTGATCTCAGAGTTCTGGTCCTGGTTCTTACGGATGCGGTAGAAGTGCTCGATGTAGCTGGAGCGGCCCAGCAGCTCCACAAAGTCCTCGTCGTGGGTGATGATGAGCAGCTGGAAGTTACGCTGGCGAGAGCGACTCTTAATGATCCTGAGGAGAGCGAGCGAGAAGGGTACATCAACTCACAGTTCACACAGTAGCAGGACAAACCAAATCAAAGCTAACTTTTTTAATTGTGTTCATGCAGAGCTTAGTGATTAAGCATTATCAGCAATTTGATGAATGATTTTGATATTTGTTTTAGTTTACTAGGTTAGTCTACTGATTGTTTTCTGTCCCTTCTAAATGCTAGAAGGATAATTAAAGGATTTAAACATTTCTGAAGCAAAAAAAGGCTGGAGGCTTGATAATTCGAGCTGGCATGATGTGCCGTCACTGTGGGCATTTTCTTTTTTTTAGTTCTATCCTTGTTAGGTCCTTAATGAGCTAAAGACCTATTCTTTAACCTTGGGAGTGATTATATTTAGGTGGATCCACACATTAAAGTGGACCTATCATGCTATATTTGAATAATATAGTGTAGGACCATACCTATATAAGGCATATTTATACTTTTTATTTTTCAAAATACCAAACAGATCATGCATTTTAGCCATTCCTCATTTCGCTCAATTTAACACTGTCTTTGCAAGGGCTGATTCTGTGAGAACAGCACCACCTACAGGCCTGGCATATGTACTACAGCGTCTCCAGCGTCTATCATGCAAAAGTGCATTTTGAATGATAGGTCACCTTTAAGGCAAGGCAAGTTTCTATAGCACTTTTCAAACCAAGGCAATTCAAAGTGCTTTATAAAAATGAAAGACATTGAGAGCATAACACACATTATAAACATTAAAAAGCAAAGTAGTACTAGGATGGGTTAAATGCAGAGAACAGATTTCACTGTGTGAGCTGTGTGCTCTGCATGTGTGACCATTAAAGCGGGTTTCATCCCTCCAATTCTATCTATATTTTAAACATGAATAACACAGGTACATGAATAAAAGTTACAGTGTAAGATGTGAATAGTTCAATTAAAAGCAGCGGCAAAAAGAAAAGTCTTCAGCCTGGATTTAAAAGCAGTCAGAGTTGCAGCAGACCTGCAGGTTTCTGGGAGTTTGTTCCAGATATTTGGTAATATCCCTGACCAAATCTCACATTCCTCTACCCCTAGTCTTCCCGTGAAATGAGTTATTTTGACACTTTTCTAACCTTTTGATATTCCTTTCATCCTTCTCTTTCATCCATTTGCATCCCCAGACAACACATTTTCCCCCGTTTTATTTTGACCTTTAAGCCACTTTTCTTTTCAATTCCCACAATTAGGATATTTAAACCTGGATTATTTTAGAGGACACTCTTGGCATAACTCAAAAGTCTTAAAGGGGACCCATCATGCAAAATGCACTTTTGTACGTCTTTTATACATGAATATGTGTCCCCGGTGTTCCAGGGAACTCACCAAGTGTCAGAAAACACAACCCTCTCTATTTTTCTCCATACCCAAATCTCTTAAAAAGGGACTGCAACGGATCTGATACAGACTGATCCAGATTTGAACACTTCTATGACGTCACAGAAGTGGCGCTACGGCTATTGGGCCAACTCCACCAATCAGGAGGAGACAGCCACGGACATTGCTGTTCGAAAGCGCTGGAGACGCTGTAGTACATATGCCAGGCCTGTAGATGGTGCTGTTCTCACAGAATCAGCCCATGCAAAGACAGTGTTAAATTGAGCGAAATGAGGAATGGCTAAAATGCATGATCTGTTTGGTATTTTGAAAAATAAAAAGTATAAATATGCCTTATATAGGTATATTATTCAAATATAGCATGATAGGTCCACTTTAAAGTTAAAACACAGTGTATCTGTGTGTGTGTCTGTGTGTGGGTGTATCTGTGTGTGTACTGACTCTACGAGGGCGTGTGCCAGAGACTCGATGTTGTCTCGGTCCAGGTTGGTGGTGGGCTCGTCCAGGGCCAGGATTCCACAGTTCAGACAGAAGGTCTCTGCCAGAGCGAGACGGATGATCAGGGACGCCAACACCTGGTCAAACAGCCACATTTAAGCATGTGGTAATATGTTGGAACACAAAAACAGCATGATACATTATGTTTTAATGTAATGTATGTGCTTATAGAGAACATTTATTGTGATACCTTCTGCCCGGCACTGCAGCGCCCCCTCATGTCCAGAGCGGTGTCTCCTTTCACCATGACCACTCTGTAGTTGTAAACCCTCCGCCGCACTCCAGCAGACGAGTTTTCGTCCACATCAGAGCGGATCTCCACGTACTCAATGTCTGGAGAGGGGGCAAGAGGAGGTGAGGAAACACTGAGGATACATCCACATCAGTATGTTTTTGTTGTTGCTGGCTTGGTTGTCTTTACTTGCCGCTGTTTAAGGTGTTAGTAAAGACAGATTATTTCTGTAACGGGGCTAAAATACTCTGCACGGAGATCATTGTCGTTTTAAAATGGCAAAAAAGTAAGTGTGGATGTAGCCTAACGGAGAGGAATTAGGGTGAATGATTTACATATAAATAAATACATAACAATCATAGAGTAGGATTGAAATGCACCTTGACCCCTGTAGGTGCTGCGCCAAAGGTCTCTGATGATCTTGTTGATCTCATCCATCTTCATGCTGTGGAATTTCATGATGGTTCTGAGGAAAACAAAAAGGAAACTAAGATAAAACCCTAAAGCAGATACGATATTTGACCTTCCCTAATTCAAGCTATCAAATAGATGTTGTTTTGTTGATTTGACAATCAAGGGACACAAACTCAAGACAGAAGCAGGCACATGTATGTGATTTATAAATACCAATGTCAAACAGTATAATATATTTTACTGTTCACATTGACAACCCCTGCTTTGCACACAATGGAGAAGATAAAAAGAATCAACTCCAACACATTTGTAAACCTTTACTATGTTATGATGATTTGGTGAACAAAATGATAGCGACAGCACTTTTTTAATTAAACCCAGTGATATTGAAACATGAGAAATACTGAATATAAGTAGATATAAAAGATTTGAAGGCAGGCAACTGGATGTTGCTTTCCGGCATACTAAGAATCATTTTGTCGTTAATCTAGTAATTTGACCCGAAACTCCTATGTGGTCTGAAAACACCGGTGAGGACATTATATCAACACCTTTTCTGAAGCCCATATATGGTGGGTGAATTGAAAAACCGTGAAGCAAGGAAGAAAAGAGAGAGGAAGTAGCGCAGTCCTTATCAATCCATGTGGCCCGGTGTATGCATACACTTATGCAGCAGAAGGAAGTCATTGGGCATGACTTCCTTCTGCAAGTGTATTTGACTCGCAACAAACAAAAGAAATGTTGTTTTGTAAGTCACAATAATAATCAGTGATTAATCATGAATAGTTTTTTATACTAGCACTTTCTTGCATTTTAGACGGATGTAAAACAAACAACTTGTGACATGACACACTGGTCTTTTACTTTACTTTGTCTTCGCAAAACAGGGCCGCTCTGCCGCTATCTCAATGCAAGCACTTTCTTTTACAGTGGTGAGCTTATCTGCCTTCTCTGAGGAAAAGACTTGTACATTTTATTAATTTCCGTTTTCTTTTTTTTATGTCTTAAGATTTTCAGACAAATCCCGAGTATTGACATGTTAACGTTGATGGCATGAAAAATAGTGACTTGGTCAAAATCAAATCATTTCTGTTATTTATACAGGGTATATGCAAGAATCCTGAAGTCAAATGTAATACCTTTTAAGACCCTTTCCATACATTTGAAGACCTCATCGCCACTTCGAGTTCTAACCGGTTTACTTTACCTCACATTTACTATATACAGTATTGATTGTAAGATAGCATAGCTAAACAGTTTGTGACAACTCCTTATCATAATTCAGATAGAACAAAGCACAAGAGAATGAATTGTGTGACCAACCCAATGCAAGGTTTATTAGAAAAAATTAGAAAGTAGTATTTGATCTAGGCATTGTTCCCAAGAAATAAAACAGACAGACTACTGAAGAGAGTCTGCACTGCAGCGGTGTGCGTCAGCGACGTGCAGTCAGGGGAGGCACATCGGGAGAGTCGGGACTTAAAGCATTTAGCATCCCCATAACGATGCTGTTTAACAACCGGCGTAAACGGACCTATCAAGCAGCAGTCAGTCAGTGAGCGATGTCCTGTTCAGATGACGTCAAATCCAATGGGATGCCATAAATAAACTACACAGAATCACACTACACACCTACGCAATGATTACATTCAGGGTTTCTCCCCAACATAGATGT